TCCAGCCCCAGGATTATGTTAATCTTGCTCTGTTCATTTTTGAAATTAGGATTTGGAATAGAAATTGTGGCTAGATATGAATATACAGAGACTCATCACTGTAAAAAAAAAGGCATGCAAGCTGAGCTCTCCCTGTGACGGTGGGTTCTTTGAAATTACTCAGATTGTTCTGAGAAAGTACAGCATGAAGTTTAGATATTTAAGAACATTCTAAAGTGGTTTAAGAGAATTAGTTCTGCAGCAAGATTGTCTAAAATAATCTGTTATATGTTGCTTCAATTCCAGAGCATCATGCACAGTCCACAGACACGACATTGTGAAGAATTAGGACTTGCATAGTGAGGGGCTTTTTCCTGTCCTAGAGCTAAATAATGCAGATAAGATTTGTGGTGTCTATCCTCCTTTCCATAATTAATCTTGATGAATATGGCTCCTGACCACAAATGTCTGGAGTCGCGCGGCATTCATTTCAGAGGAACCAATTAATTTTTGAAAACTTTTAACTCGTCTGGGACTGGGAGCAGGAAATGAATGGCAATGGCATTTAGTTCGTTAAAGCTAGACGATTGATTGGCTTGGTAGCCACAGGAAAACATACAACTGGCTAATTAAATTTGATCACTTCGAAATGCACCAGAGAAATGGCCTGATCAATGCCATTGCCACTGAGCATCCCAGTCTCCTCTTCTCTTCTTTTTCCCTCTCATTCTCTATCTCTCTGTGTGTCTCCAGAGCACGGAAAACGAGATGCGGTTGTTGTTCGTTTGAATCAGCACAGAGGTCACTGCGGGTCCCGTGCTGACCTACTCAGGTCCTGTCTGTAATGTTCCTGTACACATTGATCGCTCTTTGTTTATGAAGCTTTATAGCGCACATTCATGGATGCTCTCCTCTCCGGGGACCTCATTTCTAAACTGCAACTCCAACAGTTTGCTCTTCACCTTTTTCCATCCCCTGCTGTAAAAATGCATCCGCACCACAGCGTGCCCTATTCAGATTCACTTAGCTCTCTGTTTGGAAGAGCCCGTGTTAAATCTCGCCAGCGTTACTCCTGTGTGCAGGCTGAAGGAGGCAGAGGGCCATGCCAAATTAAAGTCACCTCTGTGGAAATGGGAGACAGTGAGTCTGAATAAAGAGATACATCAGCGTCCACTTGGCAGAGGTACAAGGTGAGGGAGAGGGAGCTTCAGTGTATATACACACACACAGTCACATACACACTGTAGCTCCTCCTTCACCTCTAGCGTGTGAGTCATGCATTAGCCCGGTCGGACAGCAGAGGATATATCTGCGGCACGCTTGGCTGGAGTACCGGCAAGCTCCAATGGCCTATGAAAGGTAGACAGATATCAATAAGTATTCATCCATCTCCCACTTAAACTTGTTCACCGCCTTTCTTTCTTTCCTTCCTTTCTTCTGTCTTTCCTTCTTTCCTTCCTTAATTTTCTTATTTATTTCCTTCCTTTCTTCAACCGTTCCTTTTTTGTTCCTTGATTTCCTTATTTATTTCCTTCCTTCCTTCATTGATTCATCCATTCCTTTTTTCTTCCTTCATTTCCTTCATTTCCTTTTTTCCTTCATGCATTCATCCATTCCTTCCTTTCTTCCTTGATTTTCTTAATTCCCCTTCTTCATGCATTCATTCATCCATTCCTTCTTTTCTTCCTTGATTTCCATATGTATTTCCTTTCCTCCTTCCTTGTTTTTCCCAATCTCTGCCTCCTCTGCGTGTTTTCTCTGTCTCTCTTTTTCTCTCTGCCTCTGTCCCTTGTTGTTTAAACACACATACACAAACACAGGCTCACGCTCTATAGGTCTCGTGTTCATTTATCTCCATTGAGAGGGAGGTGTCTGCCTGGTCACTTCTAGAAAACTCCGGAGAGACTGCTGAGGAGGCACTGAAATAGACCAGCAATTTTATTCCACAGGAGAGAGAGAGAGAGAGAGAGCTACACATACCAACTTCCTCGCTTGAGGCTCACATGAGGCTTGTTTCTTTCATCCCTAAGGTGGACCCCAATATATCCCCTCGAAGAAATACACACACACCACACAAAAGCACATTTATCATCCGAAATCTAGCCATGTGAAGTAGCAGCTGATTGTCCATGTTTTTGGAGAAAATCAGTATTTCTGAGAGAACAGTGCAGAATGTTGGTAAACACTACCTTCTCAGCATGGGGGTCATTATCATCATCTCATAACCTCTGGTTCTGAATCCATACAGACAGAGTTAGACTGGCTTATTGGCAAAGTAGCCAAGTACATGTGTCCCAGTATGTCAGAGTTCTGGGGCCATAAATAACAGCAGTTCTCTAATGGGCAAGAAAAAGTTGGATATTTGGCCTTGTAATACATTTTTATTGGCTGCTGCACCTATGCTAAGTGTATATACTGTCTACTGTAGTGTAGGAGAGATATATTGTATAAATTAGATGGACAGTTGCTGTAAGTTGTAGTTGCTACATTGTTTTTATTATGTTTTTGTATTTGTTTGTGCTTTAGCCAAAGGTTATGGCTCTCGTGAAGCCAAAGTTATGCAGTTCTTTTTTAATAAAGTGCTGCAGAATAGATGTACATAATAAATGCAATAAACAAGTAAATAAGGCTTCGCTGCACAGCATTATGTGGAGCCATCCTTGTTCTAATGCTTGAGAAAACATCTCCTTAATAATACTCAGTATAGACCAGATTTACAGTCTCTCTTTCTCTCTCTCTCTCTCTCTTGGGATGGTTTGCATACAGGCAGGCTATTGTAAAACACTTCCCAGGAAAGTGCTCTTATCGCTCTTTTAAAGTGCTACAGGGTGGGTCATGGCCATGTGATAGCGTGTGCTTCCTGGGGCTGCCCGGAACAAGCTGTTAGTGCTATGAAAAGAAATTAACTGGCAGTCTCCCCTGTTTGCCTCTGCACTGACCTGAGACCCTTGCTCCATTTTGCTCTTTCAGTGCGTAATGTTAGGACTTGGGTTGGGGCACCTGCTCTTGGATCAGCCCATAAAAAGCTCTCAAACATCTAATGATCTTCCGATCACCCATGCTTCTAATCACTTTTCAGAGATTGTAATACAGCCCTGCTCCAGGCCAGGTAATCAGAGGTCCACCGGAAAAGAAAAGAAGAAAAAAAAAGTTGTAAAAAAGAAAATGTTTTCTGTGCGAAAGCAAGATTAAAGAGATTTAATGAAGCAGAAGTTGCCAGTTTCGTTCATATTTCAAAAGACATGGAGCAATTATTATTTCAATGCCAAACATTCTCAGTCATCTCAGAGTCTGATCTACCCTTTGATACTGCTTTGCTCCTGCACTTTTTTTTTTATCTCCTGCGAGGTTGAATGTCGAGCTTTTTGCCGCGATAGAAAGCATCGACAAAGGCGGAAAAGGTCGGCAGGGTTGAGGGAGGCCCGTTTGACCTTCCCCACAATCTCCTTCCTGCCGAGCTCCTGCCTTTTTTTCCCCTTTTTTTTCCATTTCATCTGTCAATGTCATTACAGGGCTATTCAAACCTTTCTTTTGAAGTCCAACAGTGCATTTCAAATAAGCCTTACCTATATGCAGGAAGGGGGATTTCAATGGCTTATCATTAAAATAGATTTGAGGGAAGAAAGTTGAAGGGGAAGTGATAAACGGCATGTGATTAAACTGCGTAACTTTGTTGAAAGATAGGAATCGCTTTTGCGAGGATTAGTCTGTTTTCTTCTCATTTTATCGTCAAATAGAATCCCTCACAAAATGTTATGCAGGTGTGATAATTCTGATTTCACATCATCAGTATTCATTGTAATTACGTCTATAAAGCGGTTATATATCTGTATTAAATTATTTCTGCTTTGTGCAGCCACAGTAGTAAGCCATCTTTGATTAGTGCCATTTTGCTGCAATGGCAAAAGCCTCTTTTAAGAGAGAGACAGGTAAAGTAAATTGGTGATAATACTGATTTCATATGATCCATATTCATTGTAATTACTTCTGTAAAGCATGCATATATCTATAATAAATTATTTCAGCTTTGTGCAGCCACAGTACGAAGCTATTTTTGACTGGATGCCATATTGCAGCTGGGCAAAAGCCTCTCTTAAGACAGAGGCAGGTGAAGTAGAGTGGTGTGAGATGGAGACATGCGCGCAGTGCATTAGTCTTCCTTCAGGCTTGTATTTAGCCATGTCAATATTGTCTGGACCACGTCTCAGGCCGCCTTCTTCCTCCTTTCCACTCGGTATTGACTCTGGGCTGCAGAGCAAACACGCTGTGGTAACATTGATGTAACGTTGAGAGTTGAGTAATTGAGAGCCGCATTATGGGGAGGGGGGTCGGGAAGGGGTTATCGGCTTTTCTAAAGTCGTCAGACTTGAAGAAATGTGGAAAGACAGAGCAGTGAGAGAGAGAGAGTTAGAGGCAGAACTTTGGCTAGATGGATGATTGTTGAAGTTTATTCAATAATGCACTCTCCCCTACTCGTGGTTCAGGAGTTGTTAGCTACATCTGATAGTTAGATCGGATGCTCTCTGTTGACACACAGTAACGTTGATAGTTATACTCAGTCGACAAGCCTGAGCGGAGCTTGTTTACCGTATCACAATACAGGCACTGTGCGTGTGTACATACTTCACTGAGCAGGTATATGACACACTCTGCAACTGTATCTCTTTGCGCCTGACGGGTACCACCTTTCTTTATCTACACACATACGCACAGCCATATGTTCTCTTTTTAACTCAAACGTTCTCATCTTCTCTGGTATTTCTTCTCCTTTCTATTTATATCCATCAGGTCATTGAAAGTGCGACTGAATGTTTTGAATGTTTAATTAGTGTGTTTCCTTAACTAATTAAAATGTACAAATGTAAGGATTAAAGACCCCCCCTCTCTCCCCCTTTTCCTCCTCACTCCCACCCCCTTTTCTGAATAATTAATCAACCTCTTTCACCAGGAGATCTTGTTGCACACCAGGACGCACTTCAGTGTCGCCCAACACCTAAATTTCTCTCCCTTCTCCTTCACAGACCGACAGTTTCCCCGCTGAGCCCAATTACATGGGGAGCAGGCAGCAGTTTGTTCAAAGGTAAGGCCTATTAAATGACTCACTCAAGCGCCGCATTTGCCTAGACCCCCTTACCTTACTAGCACAAGTGGCACAAGCCCCCCTCATAGGAACTAAAGTTGTTCTCAAACATGGTTCCTTATGGTGTTTACTTATTTCCTGCTGCTACTATTTTCTCATTTTTCATAGCAGTTCCACGTTTAAGGACCCGGAGAGGGCGAGCCTGAGGGACAGTGGGCATGGGGACAGCGACCAGGCGGACAGCGATCAGGACACCAATAAAGGCTCCTGCTGTGACATGTCCGCCAAGGAGGCGCTCAAGATGAAAGCAACTGGGCTCAAGCCCCAGCCTCTTGAACAGGGTGAGTAGGGATGTGTATGGTTAGAAGTATATGCTTCTATTGCTTGGTGCTTTACCACACTTTGTGTAACACTGCCAAAACAATCAGCATTGCATTATTATTCCATATAACAAAAATATTCTCTCTTCAGCAGCAGCAGCAGTGTCGTTTTTATTGTTGGCGTCAACTTGACTAAAATGGAACCACACTTTAGATGTTTTGTTCTCTCTGCCATTAGTGACTCTTTTGTGTAGATCAACACTTTTCAAGATATTGTGCCAGACAGCACAGCTCCACCTCTCCGACAAAGACAGGCGTTGAGAGAGACTGCAAGATTGCCATGAATTCCACTTTCTCAAGTGCTGATAGCAGAACCGTTTACGCCAGATCTTACTGCCTCGAACTGGGTATCGAGCTCTAGCTAACTTCTCTAGACACTGAATCTCAAAGTCATCACAGTCACCCCCACATTGCTGAAGCCTACAGAAATACTGCACTAGGTGGTTTTCAGCCTCTCCTCCTCACCTTCTCATTTTTCCCCCATGCATTCTTCCCCTCTAACCTCTTCTGTTCTTGCTCAATATTTACTGCCCCCTTGTTGGTCAGCATTATTTTTCTTATTTGGCAGTTCTTCCTATGAACATTAGGAGCCTTCTGTTTGCTTCCTTTATTTTTTCTTATATATTTTTTTTACCCACTTTTGTTGACCTCCCTGTTCTCATTTTCAAAGTGCCTCCTCCCTCCTTCTCTCTATCTCTTCCTCCTTCTCAGTCTTTTTTCTCTCACCCCCCCCAACCAATCCCCTTCCCTCGTGTCTCACTCTCTCTCCCTCTCTCTCTCTCTTGCACTTGTATTCCAGCCACGTTCTCAGTTTATCAAACCAGACAAGCCCATTATGATTTTATAAGCCAAACCACTTTAGCCTCTCCATTTAGTCCTTGCTGGGGAGGCGCTGGGAGCGTGCTTCTTTAAAACTTTCATAATGGAACATGGAAAATGACTTATCATGCAGCAGGCGATGTTACGTGCTCGGCCTGATTAAATATGAATAATTATTCGATGTCTCTGTTGGTAGGACAAATTACTAGTGACATGTGTAGAACAATAACTCCGCAGATAGATACAGTAGAAACCTGCATGTTCCGTGTGAGGAGGCTGGAGAATTCTTTGCACTTGTTCGTTTGTGGAAGAGAGATGTAGGAGGTTTGTATCCATTCATCCTGGGGGGCTTACTGGGTTATGTCTAAGGCCATTATACCCAGGGCTACATCTCTCAAAAGAGAATTTCAGAAAAACGGAAAGGCAGAAAGTTTATTAGTGCATGTGTGTCTGTGTGTTGGAGATTACAATAAATGGCCTCTGGAAAGCTGTAAATCAAATATAATGTTTTGTTCTACTAATCAGTAGAACAAAAGGAATCTTCTGTTACCTGGGTTGAGACAGTGGAGGACTATACTAGCGATGTCTGCCTGGACTTGACTGTGTCTGTGTGTGTTTGTTTCAGAGCAGTTCAGGAATAGAGTGAATGTACTGGCAAGAGAAATTGGCCAATTAAAGAAGCCCATATGTTTCTTATTTTGTGACTGTAGTCATTTAATGGTGCATGGGAGTAGTTGGAGAATGGCTGAATTTTGCTATTTTAACTGTGACATGCACACACATACAGCAGAGCACTGTTGTGTCAAACACTCAGCATAATGACCTAAGCCAAGAACAATGAAATCTTGTTGCAGAAGAACAGTTCTGTGTGTGCGTATGTGTGTGTGCGCAATGCCAGATACCAGTGTGAAACAGTATGTCAGCTTATCCCTTCTCATATTAGAAACTCAATGAAAGCCTTACCCTCTCTCCTCCTTTTTTCTTTTCCTGCTCTCCTCACTCTCATCTTTCTTTTCCACTCCTCCCCCTCTTTTTCTAAAATCAATGGTCATGTTATAAGGCAGTTAACTGGGAGCAGATGCTTCTGTTTTGGCAATAACACATAACTGGACTCTCTCTGGCCTCTCTCTCTCTCAAACCCCTATGAAAATGAAATATGTTATATGGTGCCAATATATAAATAGAGTACGTTGGAATATACAGTGTGGTTGAAAAGTCTGACGGCCCATTGAAAATATGGGACTTTAAACCTGAAAATAAACAACAAGAAAAAAAATTCTGAAAAAGAAAGAAATATTTTGACAAGTAAAATGCTGAAGGAAATGAACATTCTGATTTCAAGACTACTATTCAAATTTAAGCAAATTTGTGACACTGATCATGCTAGTACCTTTTTAAATCTTATCCCTTTCATTGAAGCACAGCTTCAGACGACTCTCAGATGGATTTGTTCAACTCATCAGAGGCTTTTGCACAAACTTTAGCAAAAATACTGTGAAATTCTGAAATTCCTACAAATATTTCAGAGATTCTACTTTTCACTCAGATTGTTACGCTGAAAATATTGTTTGTGATGAAAAAATGTGTGTTACATTTAAAAAAAATGCAAAATAGTAGCATTTTCACTAGTGGTCTCAGACCTTTGGACCCTGTATTAACAAAATAATACTGTTTTTATATGGGAACACACACACATAGCGGAACAGACCACCTAGTTGTGAGTGCAGGTGAACAATGGAAAACTCTCCTGTGTCCTGATGTGGGCATTACTGCTTCTGATGCTTGAAAGTCTACTTATAGGCCTCTGATTCTGTTTTTAAAAGGATCAAGTCTTCCAAATGGAGCTTCTGCTATTGTTACAAGGCAGTGAGAGAGCAGTAAACCAGTCATATAGCAAGTGATGTGATACATAATGCATTATGCTGCATTATAGCTGTGTGTTTTAAAGTGGAGTCTTATGGTGGCATTTAGCAGGCAGTAAGCAGGGGAGAGTGTGTGTGTGTGTGTGTGTGTGTGTGTGTGTGTATGTGGGTCCACAGTGCTGGCTCTTGTACTGATTGTATTCTCCTCATGGCTGGAATGTATTATTTAGAGAGGAAGAGAGGCAGCAGGCTTTGGCTACAGCAGCTCATAGAGGAGATACTACAACGTGTGCCGATGGGCATCTTTTCACTCCTCTAGTTCCCTTCTTTCTCCTTATTTTCCCTTTTCCTTCCTCCTTCTTCTTCCCATCCCTATTACGTATTTCTCTTCCCTCCTCTCCTCTTTTTTCCCCCTTGCCTCTTTGCTCCTCTCATCTCTCATCCCTCCCTCCACTCCTTTCTCTCTCTCAGAGTGCAGACCAAGCAGTTGAACGCCTCTAGACCTTTCTTTGAACAGGTATTCCTGTTCGATATGTCTTTTCTTTTTCCCGCTCGTACCTAACGCATTAATATTGCATTCAGATTACTGCCAGCACTCAACCCTTCCAGGGGAGCAAGGGGTTCACGGAGTCGCCATGAAAGCAAAAAGGAGAAAAACGCTCAAACCGTCTGCTTTAACTGTCAGTAAACCACACAAGCATATTGTCTCTAGCTGTCTGACTCATAATCTGGACGGTTCACCCCGTCCTGTGTGTCGTCCGTGCCCACTCCTTGGGCAATGTTTATTAGGTGGTAATTCAGTCAGAGACACAGAAAGAGAGAGCAGGCTACAGGCTCCGTTGCACATAAACAGGCAAGACAGTCCAGTCTCTCTCGCTCTCTCTCTTTGTCTCTTTCTGACTCTCTCTAGCTCTGTGCCTGCTGGCCTCTCCACACCATCCACTCCAATTAGGGTGTTCCCTCCAGCATGGCTTCATTTATTGGAGTCAGAAGTGGACAGAAACATGTAGCATGAATGGAGTGCAGGTCCCGCATGAATTCATCAGCACGTTCATATAGCCCTCTAGGCCTGTAGAGTTACTGTCTTCTCTAGTACATTTCTCTCTGTCCCTTTTTCCATCCTTCTCTCTCTCTCTCTCTTTTTCACCACACCATAATTGCATAATTGGATTAAAACCAAATAGCTCTTTGAACAAACACTCGTTATCCCCTATCCTCATTGTCCTCCACATTGGAGACATTGTGGGCTTTTTACATTTGGTGGTGCAAGGGGGCTATTCTAAAATTGATTAATTAAGCTCCCCAAATTGGGAGCTGTGTATTAATTAAGCAGAAGTGTATCAGAGTGTATCTCTTATTAATTGGTGATTAATTGATGCGAAGATTCGCCTGCAGCGGAGTCTAATCCTGGAATGTGTTCATCAGTGGCCTTCACACGGTTCAGTTCACTTCCTGCCTATCTCACGCAGGCGTCGAGATGTGCGCGCATGATAAAGTGTGAGTGTGAGTGTGAGTGTGTCTGGGGGGGGGTGGGAGTGAGAGAGGGGGTGGATAGTGTCTTTGGATTGCTGGGTGAGTGTTTTGGATGACCTCCTCTAATTGCATTGGATTGAAGCGCGATAATCAAATTGTTTCACTTTTTACTGTCTGTTTTTCTTCTCTTTCTGATTCGCCATACCCTCAGCTTATTAGAACAGAGAGGTAGAGAAGGAGTTTGCAGAGAAGGTAGCATGAGAGTAGCACAGTGCAGTGAAAGAGAGAAAACGGAGAGAGAAAGACATCATGCAGCAAGGTTGCTATGACACCTCTGACCCCCCCCGCTACCACCCCCATAGTATTTGTGGCAGAGTAATCGGAATCCCTGTAACCCATATCAGCGATTGGTACAAGAAGCAGGGAGATGTCACGCTCTATCACACACACACACACACACACACACACACACACACACACTGCAAGACTATTGTGGTGAGACTACCTGGGTGTGCAGGCTGATTGATTTGCCATGGCTATAGCAATAGATTGAATAGATTAAATATGCTGGTGGGTGTTGGATTTTAAAGAAGTCTACCTAGACACCAGTGCTGTCTAGGTACCAGTCAGTGCTGTCTAGCTGCCAGTACTGTGCCTTACTTTACACAGCACCACAAAAAAATCCAGCTCTGTGTTTTGCTTGACATATTGACAAATATTAGACTATTCTATTTCTTTACAGCTAGATTGGCCAGTGGCCAACTTTTGTGGCAAATTATTATGTTTAACTGTGTATAATTATTATGT